TGGTGGCATGGCGTGGGCAAAGAGGCACTGTTGGGAGAGATTCCTTCCTGCCTTCAGAAGCTCCTGGAGATACAAAGCCAGTCAGTCCTTAAAGGACAATTTTACAGGGATTCTTTCAAAGGACTGGGGAGAAAACACCAAACCAAGCCTGCTGTCCTGATGAGCTCTCACATTCTAGTGAGCATGAATCACTGAGGGAGTTCAGGGAAGCTGCAGATTTCTGCACTGCTCAATTGTGCAGAATCAGAATAGGAGAGGGTGGAGCCAGGTGGACACCGAACTGTTTGGTCATGATCCACTGCTGGGGAGCTGCACTCACAGCCCTCCTCCTGGATGGCAGTGTGCTCTCGTGGACATCAGAACCAGTGCCTCTGTGCAGGGCACATGTCCCCCACTTGCCCATGAGACCAGAACAAAGCCATTTCACCTCTCAGCCTCCCTCTTAGTTCCAAAAAGAAGGTAAGTCTGGGGGTTGTTTGGAGAGTTAGAGTGAATCCTCAGAACTTAGTCATGCATTTAGTTTCATTTAAAAGTACATTAAGGCATTCCACCCAGTTGTAGGGACATTTGAGATCCTTGACAAACGTTGGCTAAACTTGGAGTGTAGTGTGGGAAGGTGAGTGAGGAAAGAGCCCTGTTGTGTTATATGATCCATTTTCTTCTTTACTCTGCAAGTTGTGGAAACTCTGGAGAGGAGGACATGGCAGCATCTGTCAGTGCTAAGTGGACCAAACCTCCTGTGTCTCCATGAGGCAGCCGGCTCTATCTGTCACAGTCATTGTCAGACCACTGCTAGAGCCCTGGGCCACAGTTTGCACAGGGAGCCCACAGTCCAGGTCAGGTTGGAAGCAAGAATGATGCACAGACGTGGACCTCACAGCACACATGGCAGGTCCTGCATGAACACCTGAAGCAGCGCACTAGAGGATACCAGGTGGGGGACCAGTCGGGAGGGCTCCTGGCAGCGCTTGGCATTAGTGCTCTGAGCTAAAAGCTGGAAAGAAGAATCTCCACTGATGGAGATAGCAAAGTACAGGAAGGAGTCAGTTCAAGATTAAGAGCATGCGCAGGACTCTGTCAAGGCTGGAGCCCAACTCTGCAACTTCTCAGCAGAGTCCTGCTGTGCAAGTTCGCTGACACTTAGAGCCTTAGCATCCTTCTCCATAAAATGAAGATCTCTGAGTACCTGTGTCCCAGAATGCTGAGAGGGTATAGAGAGGTAAATCAAGCTACAGGTAAGAGCCAGGCACACAGCAAGTGCTCAGTACATGTGAGCTCAGATAAACTTCATTTATTCAAAAATATTGGTGACTATACCAGGGACTCTGGAAGCTTTGCTGTTTCTCTTGGCTGGATGATGTGAGCAGCACAAGGGATGAAGCCACCAGGCAGCACTCAGGCCCAGGTTTCCACTCAAGGGCATCATCTCCCAGACCCATCAGCCCAGCAGGGTCCCCAGGTTGACCAACCTTTACAGGAACACAAGACCTCGTTTTGGTGCTACGGCAGCTTCGGACTTGGATGTGCTGATCTGACCCCACGTTGGAGTCTGAGATGGTACACGTCCACTGGGCAGCAAGCACCTGCGGAGCAGGAGCAGAGGAGCGGGCCGAGCAAAGCGTGGCAACCCCCTCGGACCTTTCATGATGTGGCTGATCATTAACTATTCCACGCTGAATTTTCACAGATGGGGCTGTCACCATTTATTATCCATGGAGGAACTTTCAACAAGCAACATAAATTTCCTGAGAATCAATCTGCTCATCTGTGAAGCAGTAATAACAATCATATAACAGTTAAAAAGAGGGGCTGTGAAGATTTAACATGACAACTGATGAAACAACAAGTAGTGTGATGCCTGGAAAGAAGGGGACACCCAGGAAAGTGCAGGGATCCTGGTTCCTGCTTTGGGGGAGCTTCAGGAGGAATGAAGGCTGTTCCTGCAGAACCTGCTGTCATGCTTTTAATCAACAGCAGGCAGACCTGAACTCCTACGTAAGTGAGAAAACCTCAGTGTCATCATGCAATACAGAGCTACCTTTAGTTACAGAATTAGAAAAGTTCTAAGAACACATTACGCCACTGTGACCTTGGAGTTAACTTGCCCATACTGTGAATGACACTAATTGCCTTCCAATTATTTTCCTCTTGAGGTTCTGGACTCCCCAGGAAATGGGCCCTGGGGCCTGCCCAGAGCTAACCATATGACCAATTTTCCGATGATGAAGCACCTCAGCGTAGGAAGGGCAGGACACAAGGCCTCAGCAAGTTAGCAAGGACCAGGAGCATGGTCCGAACGTTCCACATTGGCTTTTCCCCAAGGCAGAGGTCGTACGGGCATGCCAGGCTCCTATCTGCAGCCAGCACCTGCGCACCCCAGGAGCGTGCAGCCAGGCCCCCCCGCCCCCCGGCATCACAGAGGTGACAGAGGCCACCCGGCTTTCTCCCCACTGGTTGTGTCCAGAGGAGGTTTAGAATTTATGTCCGTCAGGACACCAGGTGTCCAAGAGCCTGAGCACTGGAGCCTGTCCAGCAACGCTGGTGGCCACTGACTCAGCCGCTGTCACCACCCCGCCTGATGAGTCCCTCTGACGGCAGGCCTCCTTCCCTCTCAGGGACACAGCCTCTGGCCTTTTGCTCACCGGTGCCACGCTGCACGCTTGCAAGGTTCTGCTTTCAAAGCTGGCTCAGCCAGTGGCCTTTGAGAGAGCTTCCTCACTTGTTCAGTGAAGGAGTAAATTAGTCACTGACTACTCAAAGTGTGGTCTTTGGACTGTCAAAAAGCAGCAGCAGGGCAGATTTACTACAACGGGTTGTCAGAAATGCTGGATCTCAGCTTAGCACAGACCTGCCAAGTCAGAATCTTTTTTGTACTGTACTGGGGTTGTAATTCAGGCCTCACACCGCATTACATCCTCAGCCTTATTTTGTTTCATTTCATTTCATGGCCTCCTTAACTCACTAAGGTGCCTAGGTTGAGCTTTGAATCCTGGCTCAGCCTCTAGGACTGGTGCTGGGATTAAGGGTTTGTGTCACTGTGCTAGCTTAGAGTCTACATCAAAATAAGGCTGTGCTCCTTGCTTCTAGGCACAGTGACATCCGAGGCATGCTGCCTTGGGAACACAGCCCTGTTGTGCTACGGTGCCCTGGTTCTGAGATGCTGTGAAGCTGTTCTGTGGCTCGCGTACGCAATCTTGGTGTGAGTGGGAGGAGAGCGCGGGCAAGGTTTTATCTTCGTCTGGTTAGCCGGTGTCAGTACATGGGCTGCTTCTGTGTCCAAAGCTGCCCACTGACAGCTAAAACCCTATCTGACCCAGAGTAGGATTTTCTAACTGACCAGGTTGAACAGGAGAACCAGAAAGGGATACCAAGAGTCCAGAACCCCCTCCTAAATTCATGTAACCAAGATTCTCTCCATTTCCCACGACATCCTCTGAAACAATCATTAGTGCAAAATATCAGGTCCCAGCAGTCACTAGGAAGAAGTTACTCAGCTGTCACACTCCCCTGGGTGTGCAAAGGCTGTTACTCTCACGCCTCTGAAATGGGGCATAAATACCAAATGGTTGGGACTTTCAATAAATATCACCAGGATTGTTCTAACCAGCTCATCTTTCTTCCTGGGAAGGGGCATACTCAGTAACACTTGTGTCTGACTCGACTCCAGAACGTTTCAGCCACTTTTTCGTTGTGCCTGCTTATTCTAAAATGTCATTCCCAGTCCCTTCAAAGTTTCCCCTGCCTGCAGTGGAAATATGTTTGTGCCAGGGCTGGGAGGGGCATGGAGGTAAAGGGCTGTCCTGTCGGTACCCTGCTCTCCCTCACTGGCAGGGCTCTATATGATTGCCCATGGGATGGGCTTGTCCCTCCAGTGGGTCATTGCCTCTGACTCCCATGCAAGTCCCAGTTGGCCAGCAGGACATTGCTGCCAGGCAGTGTCTTCACCACAGTACTGGTGGCCTTTCAGCGAGACCCAGCTTTGTGTTTGCGCTAAGCCTTCTAGCAGCCACCTTAGCAAACCAATGGGCTCGAATCTCAGCTGCTTTTCATAGCCTCAACTCAGGGGCTCGTGGGCAAGACCAGGCTCCACCTTCCCTCGTCTCTGAGACAGGAGAAGAACCTAGTTTGGTAGTCTGACAATTCCCTTCTGCCTGGCCTGGCCACATCATCCTGCCATCTCCCGTGGCCTCTCCCCACTCGGCAACCAGTAAGGGCAAGAGGGGAAGATCAAGGCTATGGCCACTTCAACAAAGCACACAAACAGGGTGAGTACATGCAGCGCCCATTGGTGGGAGCCTGGCTGAATGGCCACAGTGGCGAAAACTCGCAAGCACTAACAAAATAGCACGAGCAAAAGGCTTTCCCTCTCAGCTGGCAAACTGAGCACCATGGTGGACCGCTGTGTGAAGAGGAGGCAGAGCCCAGGGAGTGCTCCCACTGGGTCCGGGCACGGGCACAGAGGTCCAGGGCCCGGTAGCCGCAATCACTCCCATGTGTGTGGTGGCACATTTTTAGAAGGTCTCCCAGGAAACCTGTCACTGTAGTCACCTCCAGGGCATACAAATGCCCAGCACAGAAGTTTGGAGAAGAGACCGTACACTCGCCATGTGCTCCCTTGCTGCCATTCACTCGAGTTTGCATCTCAAGTATGCGTTGCTTGTGTACAATTACATGCTCTTCAAAAAGCAGCAGCAGGGAAGATGAGCTCTGAGCCATGGCCCCCCGGATCATCTGGCTCCGGCTTTTCACCTCCCCCCTCTCTCCCTTCGCTATATGGGTCACTTTTCTGCCTCGTTTCTTGCGCTCTGGTGGCACCTATTTTCCCAGCACATCCCAAGTGTGGTCCACAGGCCAGGCCTCTGAGGAGGCAGCTCTTTCCGCAGAAAGTTCCAAGGACAGGAGTCCTCAGGGCAGGAGGACGGCAGACTCCGACTCCAGGCTCCTAACTCAGAACTCCCGTCACAGGCAGTCACCTGCGGCTCTTTCTCTGTTTCCTGCAGATCACGAAGGCATCGCGGAAGAGGCTCACCACGAGCCTGGCGTACTCCGAGAGCCACCAGACCCGCGTGTCCCAGCAGGACTTCCGGCTCTTCCGCACCCTCTTTCTGCTCATGATCTCCTTCTTCGTCATGTGGAGCCCCGTCATCGTCACCATCCTCCTCATCCTGGTGCAGAGCTTCCGGCAGGACCTGCTCGTCTGGCCATCCCTCTTCTTCTGGGTGATGGCCTTCACCTTCGCCAACTCAGCCCTGAATCCCATTCTCTACAACATGTCGCTGTTTAGGAATGAATGGAGAAAATTTTTTTGCTGCTTGTTGCGTCCAGAAAAGGGAGCCATTTTTACAGACACATCTGGCAGAAGAAATGATCTGTCTGTTATTTCCAACTAGTTAAGGTTTTCTCTAGGCAGATTTTCTCTGGGGAGCCACAGTGTGTATTTCAAAAGAACTAATTTCCAGAACCATCCACCAGTGTACCTCACTTTAGGAAAATCTAATCTATGCAAATACACATCTATGACATGAGCAAATTAAGGGATGCTTATTCAGTGTAAAAAATTTATTTTTCCTTTTTCATCTTTTTTTTTTTTTTTTTTTAGAACCAGGGATTGAACTCAGATCCCTGCGTTTGCCAGTCAAGCGCTTATCCTACTGAACCATCTCCCCGGCCCCTTTTTCATCTTTTTGAGACAGGGCCTCACTATGCAGTTCAGGCTGGCCTTGAGCTCACTTTGTAGCCCAGGCTGACCTCAAACTCACAGTGATCCTCCTGCCTCAGCCTCCTGAGTACTGGGATTACAGGTGTGCACCACCATGCCCAGCAATATTTTTCTTTTATAAAAGGATCTATCAGGGGTTCCTTTTACATATGAACTTTTCAGTGTTTGTAATATGATTGAGGTTAATAATTTGTTATTTGTAACTGTTTAGCATTCACATCTCCCACATATAAAAGCCATACTTTATTTAAATTGAGTCTCTAAACAGACTCAGGACTCAGATTTCTCCTTTATTTTATTTAACTTTTCAGTTCAGGTTGGACTTGAACTCTCTGTGTAGTCCACACTAGCCTTGAACTCCCAGCAGTGCCTCCCTCTTCCACTTCCTGAGTGCTGGGCTTGCAGGCAGGAGCCGTGACACCCAGCACAGAGTTCTCCTTTAAAGGGTCATGGCCACTCCGGGCCTCTACCTTGGATTTAAAGAATTTCCCAGGAACAATTAAGAGTGGTTGTTTTCATTTATTAAAAATGTCATGGACCTGTGCGGGAAATGTTGAGTCATAGAATCAGAAAGAAGGCGAGAGGACTCCAGAGCCTCTACTGAGCTGTGCGTCGTGGATACATCCCTCAGGGGACTCCAGCACCTGCTATGGCCAGTGGTGCAGCTGCTGGAACTGCAGTGATAAAGCGGACAGCTATGGGCCTGCTGTTAGGGAGCTTGTGCTCTTGTCAGGGCGAGGGACGCACACTAAACAGTGTGCAAATGCACCGTCCTAAAGTAGGATAGGACGCTGTGGGAGTGATGGCCACTTCGGAGGGGAGGGGCGGGTGTAGGGAGACCTTTCTCAGGAGTGACACGAGTCCCTGCTAGAACTCCTCTGAAGGATTTTTTTTTTTTTTTTTGCGGGGAGAGGTGGCTCAGGATGCCTCAAGGGCAGGTCTGGTAAGGTATGAGGATCTGGGGATGGAACCACAGCATCCAGAGCCTGACTGCTTTGCTTAAATAGGCACTTAAACAACTGAGCTAATGGGCTGCCCCCCCCACTAGAACTTATCAATGCACGCCAAAGACGTGCCGAGTCTAGGAGGCCTCTGTAAGGAAGTCATTCAGTGTTGAATGGATACCGCTGGGAGTTTGCAGCTGCAGACTAACAAGGCTCGATGAATGAGTTTAAATGTTACTCTGGCTGCTATGCAAGAAATATATTCTGAGACGTGAGAAGAAAAAAAGACCAGTTAGGTAGCTACTGACATAGAAAAAAATTGGTGTAATTCTTGGAATTAGGTGACATTAATGAAGAATTGTGAGAAATGGTCTTGGGACATACTTTGAGATGATAGAGCAAGATAGTTTATTGATACAGTAATGTAGAATTGAGGGAAAAGAGGATTCCAGGGTGGCTCATAGATTTTTAGCCTGACAATGGTTGGAAGGGAAAGCCTGGGGCAAAAGTGGGGATGAGAAGGCCAAGTGGGTTTATTTTTGTTGTTGTTCTTGTTGTTTGTTTGTTTTAGTTTTAGTTTTGCTGTACTGTGGCTTGAACTCAGGATCTTGTGCTTGCCAGGCTGTTTATGTTGCTGAGCTATATCCACCAGCCCCAAGAGTTTCATTTGAAGAAAGTATGTTTAAATCCCAGTGAGACATCCAAATGGAAGAGGTACTTGAGATGTGGAGGACGGGTATGAAACACACAATTGTTGGAAGATGCAGATGGTATGTAGAGGCCTAGTGTTTTATGAAATGCCCCTAGGAGAGACTGGAAGGAAGGAACAGAGTCAAAGGCTGAGCAGAGAGGCGGTGCTGACAGTTGGATATTGGGCCAGTGACTAAACACATAGGTCCTTTCGGATAGAAGGTTCTCAACAAAGCAGCCAGTCCCTGTTGTTACCATTACTCATGACGTTTCTGGAGCTGCTTGCTTCTGAAGTAAGATTTATGTGACTGTGAGCTTGGGGAGAAAAGGGCAAGTGGGTTTTCTTCACCTTTAGCTAATCGGTGTGGTGAAGCTCTTTTCTGAAGGAATATGTGGATATTCTATGTGTCTTTGGGATTGTCAGATTAAAGCTAAAGAGGCGTGCTCTGAGCCTGCTGTTCCGTGACAGTGAAAGCCAGAGTTTTCCCACCTGTCTCCTCTACCTTAGGTGGAGAACAAGGCACATGGTGGGGGACGATCCCCCCAACACTGCACTGCACAGACATGAGCCTGGCAGTGCTGGGCCGCTCCTAGCCACGCCAAAAGGCTGTCACAGGTGGGAAAAGTGGGAAAACATTCCCATCTTTCAAGAGAGAAGTGTCGGGTGAGAAGTCACATATCCAGAATCTAGCACACAGCTAATGTGCAAGTTGGATTTCGACTCAAAATCAAGATTTTCTGGAACCATTTGCTGTCATTTTGAAAAGAAGAAACAGAGGCTCCTGGGAAGACCACAAAACTGAAGCTTTACACAGAGCTATGTGCTAGAATTCACAAGCACTGCTCCTGGTGGAGGACAAGACTGCCGAAGTCCCCACCTGCAGCTCCACCCCGCTCCTCCTCACTCACCCCATGGAGGGGAGCTGTGTTCTTTCCTATGGACTGGCTTCTAGGGCCCCATCGCCCAACCTCTCTATGTGCTAGACACAGTGAAGGATGGGTTGCTTCCTCATGTGCATCCTGACCCAGGCATCTCAGCCTTGCAGGCCCAGACAGGGCTGAGCCCACTGCGTTGCCTATCTCAAGACTCAGGGCTGACAGCCTTGGGCTTGCTGGTGGCTATAGTCCCTTGGCAGGCTGGTAGTTGAGCCTTTCACCATTAATGAGGAAATCCCTTTTTTGTGAAGTTGGGAGAAACAAGTTTTTCATAATGGAGATGAGGCATTAGAGCGGGTCAAAGGTCAGAAAGAGTAAGAGGGCAGAATGCCTCCTGGAATGTGAGAGGACACGCCCCTCTGCAGCGCATGGATACAAATAAAATTCAAATCATAGAAAGCTGGTGTCTATATTTTAATAAATCAAAGTTTGGAATCCCAACCCTCAAGTAGTCCCTCAGAAAACTTCAGCAAGGTATACATTTGATGTGAGCAGATTTTATCCTTCCCACATACATTTTATATGTAAGGACGGTTTTATGTTCACACAGGGAGATGCAGGGAAGACTGAACGCGTAAGATAAATAGCGAAGACTGAGAGTTAGGTGAAAGTTTCCAAATGAAATTTTACATCTTTGATGTTACTACAAAAAGTTTCTTCCTGATTTGCTTTGACAGTAACCTGAAATACAGAAAGCAAAGTCATTAATGACAAGAAGATGAACCCAGGGCTTATACAGATAACGAATACCACGGTGGCCTTGAGTTTGGCTTCACTCCTGTTTCTTCATTCAAATTTATAGTGAATTCAAACCCTCAAAGTTAGGTGTGGCTGTAATTCATAAAACACCCTCAAGGCTGTTCCTGAAGCCTTTTCTACCCCCAGGGCAGTGGGCTGACAGGACAGGGCCTGCCGCCTGAAGAGCGCTCCTGTCATTTTTGCCAGACGTGCCTCCCTGAGCTTCACAGCGGCCCGGGCTCACCCTCCCACCTCAGGACAGGAGGGCTGCGGCAGCCGAACCTCGGCCTAGAACCGGCGGCCTCATGGTGCACACCGTGTCCTACATCAGCGCACAGCGCGAGAGGGAGCTTCAGAGCCACACAAATCTGGGCTTGCGTTCAACACAGCTACCTAGCAGAGACTTGGGTCTATGTTTTCAGTCTTCTTTGGCCTCCATGTTCTCACCTGTGGAATGTGGGCAATGAGTGTTCACCTCACAAGGTGTGTGTGAGGCCTGACTGAGGTAATGCAGGGGAAGGGCTTGGGGGATGCTGGGCAGCAACAACGTCCTCTACCAGCACGCAGGCTGCCTGCCAGGGTGACACCGCCACGCCTCTTCACAGACTGACTTCACATCTGTCTGCTATAGACGGTTGGTCAGGTACCCAACCAAAATGTTCAGTTTTGTTCCCTTTTTGGCATATGGTGGCATAACCCTATTCTGTTTTGAAACCCAGTTTCCCATAGGAATTCAAAGTAGCACACTTTTCTCTACCATGCTCCTATCCTAAGTCAAGATAAGACAAAGATAATATCATTTTAAACCACCTTATGTTTGTCCCAGGGGACTGCCTCAAAATTGTTAATTTGACCATTATTAGGTTTCATATAGAATAAATAATGTTTGTTAACTACTGTTCTCTAATAAACTCACTACTTTAACGTCTGTGTTTTTACATCTGTGACTATACTTGCTACCCTGTCCTTCCTGGATGACACTTAATTCCCCTAAATATGAATTTAGTTAAGATGGTTTTGGGGGGCAGTGAATCCAAGAGTAAACTGGCCTGAGGTAGCAGAACAGAAAGATAAGAGTATCCCCTGGCGTTCTACTTAATTGCCAGGGTTTTGGAAAAAAGACCTGGGGTCACTTCTACACTGGCCCAGGAAAAGGCAAGAGGAGGCCCAGAGGCTGGGTTCTTCCAGCTCCCTGTAAGGCTTGATGCACTGTGTCAACTTGAGAAGTCAGAAGCTTAATTAAATAACTGAAGTAGGTAACTCAGGAGTTAGGCATTCGAGGGTGTAGAGGACACTCCCTTCCCACTTAGGTGAGAAGTTTAGAATTTAACTAACTGAGTCAGCAGGAGGCCACAGGCTGTCTCAGTAGCATGAGTGTCACAGGACACTCGCCCTTATTTGCTCCTGTTGCTTCGGCTGTCAGCTGCCACCTTGAACCCTTGCCCCTCACCCTGCCCTGAGCCAGCTGACTATAGACTGAAACCTCCACAAACTGCGAGCAAAATAAACCTTTCCTTCCTTAACGTTGAGCGGCAGGTATTTTGTCTCAGCAAAGAGAGAAAAGTAAGGCCCTCGCTGATCTCTCTGTGTGTCGCTGCTCACAGTCCCGGTGGCCGGCCACTCCCGAGCCCCGCAAGCCCACGCACCGTTGTGCTCGATCCTCCGGTACTGCCTGTCCAGGCACAGCTCCTCCTGCCGCTGGCGCACCAGCGCCCTCGCCTCCGGGGTCAGGCCGTTGGGGTCACGGGAGAACACGAAGGAGTAGCTGTCGGCACAGGTGCCGTCCAGATTGAGCAGGCGGCAGGAGTACTGCAGCGCAAAGGTGTCGTAATCCGTGTCGATGATCCAGTGGTCGTCATCTGCGGCACAGAGTCAGAGGGTCAGCCGGCTGCGCACGGCCGGTTGGCCCAGCTGTGGACAGCTAACGCTCTGCGGATTCGTGAAATCGGCTGCCCTTCCTTAGGAAGCCGGTGCCTTACAGAGACGGACAGCTTTTGTAAAGCTGGACAAATGAGAAAAGCTCTCAGTCCTCATTGTAGAAAACCGTCCTGGCTTGGAGGATCCCTCACTCACTTCAGTGATTCCGTCTCCCTGGCAATAAATGACAGCACACCTTTCCAATGGAGCACTGAAGACACAAGGCCATCAAAAGCCCAGAACGAGCATCTCCTGTCCTGTCAGGCCATGCACTGTCCAGGACCTGGCCTGCCATCTGACCGTCCAAAGACACCAAGAGCGGTCTTCTTGGAGGATATGCAGCCACCAGCTCCCCGTCTCATTAGCCCCACTGGTCTCTGGCCGCTGTCTGCTGGAGGAGCCCACGGCCACGTGGCTTCTCTGGCTCCATCCTAGCCCTACTCAGGATCACTGCTCACTTCACCAAGGGAACAAGGTACTTTTCACTTTTAGGGCCCAAGAAACCACCCTCTGGCACCAGACACTCCCTTGGCCTGCTTGTCCTCTTCACGGCTCTCAGCAGAGGTGGGGCCCGAGCCTTGAGGAACACAAGTCGGATGTATTGCTCAAGGCTGAGATGCAAGTAAAGCAGAGGTGGTAATAGTTATTAACAAAGGTAGGATGGGAAACAATGTGACTAGGGATGTACTGGGTGATTTGCCATGGAGAAAAAGCAGTGCTTGGGGCCGGGGAGATGGCTCAGTGGAATAAGCGCTTCCCTGGCAAGCGCAAGGGTCTGAGTTCAATCCCCGGTTCAAAAAAAAAGCAGCGCTCAAATTTATCCATATATCTTATTTTCAAACTGAAGTGCCACATTTCTACTTACTTTAACCCTCTTATTAGCACATAACTCTGGCTGGGGCCTCCTGAGCTGAATTATGTGCTGTAGGGCCTTGGATGCTTTCTCAGGTATTTCTCGCAGCTCCAAAGTGCACACTAGACTCTTTGCCTTACAGGTGGGGAGACTGAGGCACACAGAAACTAAAGGAGTCACCCAGCACAGAACGAGCAGGGCAGGACCAGGGAGACAGCTTAGGGGCCAGGGAGAGACTCAGTGGAATGAGTGTTTGTCTGGCAAGTGCAAGGTCCTGAGTCGGATCCCTGGTACCAAAAGAGCAGGGCAGAAGTAAGACAGAGAATGGCAGTGTGACTCCAGAGGCTACGTGGTTATCCTCGAGGCCACAGTGTCTCCAGACGCTAGGCAAATGGAGGGAGCGAGGAAACAAGCAGGAAGAAGGTCCTGCGTCTCTGCCCCACACCCTGGTCCTGAAGCGAGGGATGCTCTGCTGTCGCCGCGCTCACGCCATGTTGCAGGGAGGCAGGGACCTGGGAGCCACAGCCGTCTACCGCTGACCCTCCATGGCCTCCAGGTGGGACTCTCTGAGCAACCTCTCGAACACCTCCTGGGGACCGTGTTCAACCCAAGCCCAGGCCCTGCAGGAGGGCCGGCATTCACGAGGGCATGGCTCTCCCTGCCAGAACGCGGGTGAGCCAGCACTGCCCCTCCCAGGCTTTCTCAGGCTTGTGGACCTGCCAGGTCAATGACTGCTCAGCAGCGACTACGAAGTAACTCAGAAGATGGGCCAGGAATTATTAAGCTACAGGGCTAATGCCGTCCTTGCCCTAACCGTGGGCTCCTGAGTACTGGCAGTCTTTCCATCCTTGGATGGAGCCATCTCTGCTTCGGTTACGGGACCACTGTGTTACCATAAGCAGCCCATGACCCTGCCCCTATGACAGCAGGGCACTCACCTGGGAAAATGCCACTCATGGGCCCAGCAGCCAGCTAGTTGCTTTTAAAAAAATCTACAGCTTTAAATTTATTTCTCCAAAACTGTTGCCAGAATGTAAATTCCAATGTGGAAGCTAAGAAACTTTCAACGCGTGACTCTAGCAAAACCAAAGATGGTTCTGGACTTTATTTTATTATTATTATTATTATTATTATTATTATTTTGGCAGAACCTTATTTTTTTTGGCAGAACTGGGCATTGAACTCAGGCCCTTGCACTTGCCAGGGAAGCGCTTATTTCACTGAGCCATCTCCCCAGCCCTTTTCTGGACTTTACAAGAAAACCTACCTTGCTTTAGTTTGTTTTGAGGCTCATTTTGGCACAACAATGACCAAGCATAGGCATCGTAGGAATCCTGACCGATTCTGCCTTCTGCAAGTATTTGCAAAAGCAGGTCTGCTTGAGCGCTGCCATAAACAAAGTGCTGGCTTCTCCAACCCCTCACTCCCAGCAACAGTCTAAGCTCCTCTGGAGAACCAGACACCCCCAAATACTCCCACACAGCAGCTAACTGCACCTCGTAGACAGGCAGAAGAGGACTGAAGACAGTGGCTGGCCCCCCTCTACCGCTGCAGACAGGGGCCTGTAGTTCAGCCCAGTCTACACTGTACCTCCACATATTGGTTTAGCAGTTCAGACCATCGATCCTCAAAAAAAAAAAAAAATCCTCGTAAGGGGAACTGTGCCGGGGAACTGATTCTATTTCCCTTTACTGGTTTTTTTGTTTTGTTTTGTTTAATTTCTTTTTGTGGCTGGCTCGGCCTCCCTTGGGGACAGGGCTGGCACGGCATGTGGTGCTGGGGATCCAACCACGGTCCCTGCGGTCTCTGTCCCAAGCTTATGAAAGCTTTACACCGCTGAGCTGTCTTGCCAGCCCCCCATTTCCTTTTATCTTCTTAGATCTGTGTCCTTCAAGTGTCCAAAAAGACCAGGCCCAGTTGAGAAGCCCCCATGATTCTCAGGAGTGACAGTCCAGATGAGCTACCAGGTGAAACATTTGTGCTACTCCGAACTACTCATCAAAAGAACCCAAATGGCGCAGGTAACATGAGTGGAAGTCAGAGCCCTCGAGACCTGAGCATGGGGCTGGCCAGATAGCTCAGCAGATTAACACACCTGCTTAGGCAGACGCAGGGGTCAGAGGTTCGATCCAGAGCCTGCTGTGCCCCTGGGGAGCGCTGAGACAGACTGAGACTGGGCATGGTGGCACACACCTATAATCCCAGTGCTTGGGAAGCTGAAAACAGGAGAATCACTACAAATCCAGTCTGTGCAGTGAGACCCTATAGACCCTGCACTAAATACAAAAAAAAAAAAAAAAAAAAGATCTGAGTACGCATTATACAGACAAGCGTTTTCCAAAGTTTGCTGTGTCAAAGCCAGCTAAGAGGTAGTGACAGAAACTTTATGTCACAGGTATTCTGAGTGCTCTCAGTATTTCAGCTCACTGAATCATCATAAAACAACTCTGCATGGCAGGGAGGAGGCCCATTCTCACTTTGCAGAGGAGGAAACTGAAGCAAAGAAAGGCTAAGGAGAAGTCCAAGGTCCCCCAGGGCATGGCTGACTTGGAGTACGGACTCTAGCCATCTAACTTTAATAGGGCACGCTTACGACTGTGGGCTGAGCAAGCTTCTTTCCTGAAAGGCAACTGTGGAAGGCATTTAGCACTGGGCCTCCTCCGCTCCAGTTAGCTCACCTAACATCTCCACCTGGCACTTTCAAGATTCCAGTTATCCACCACCACCACCACCACCTCAATCCTAGAGAGAATCCCAGTATACCAGAGCTAAAAGTAGAGCTAATTTGGTTTGGAAAAAAGACAAGGCAAGAGACAAAAACCCTACCTCTTCTTTGGGTCCACCTCAACCCATGCCTAAAAGCATTGTCAATAGAATTCTATTCCTTTAGAGAAATTCTATTCTTTTCTATTCCCTTAAAAAGCACATCTCAAAATGCAGAATAATATTACATGTCTCCTAAAACTTAGTAAACTTGTGTCCTCTGGTATTAGTTTTTATAATCCATTATCAGAAAAGTATATTTTTACTCTAAATCAATCACTTTGGAAAATTTTACCACACTACTTGAAATAATTTTTCTTACTCCTCCTGATCAAAAACTTCCTCCCTTTGTAGTACATGCATTGCTCTGCATGGTGTGAATCACCACTGAAAACATAATCTTTAAAAATGCAATTTAAACTCACATACGATTTTAGAGTAAATCCCACAGTGTGTGTCCCATGTAGAGCAGTAAGCTACACGCATATGTCTTCCTTGGTTCCAACTGAAGCAAGTTCTCCTGAACAGCCCCCGGGCCTACCTCATAGGGCACTGCCAAAAACACTTTGGCCTACATTTGGAGACTGTGCCTGAAAGGCACACAATTCCAGCCCAAGAGGTGGAGCCGTGCCTTCTGACTCGGGCTCTCACGGTGTGACTGTGGACAAAGCGCTGCCTTCTGCAGCCTCAGCTTGTTCACAGGTGACACCTGCCTCTCCGAGATCCCACCACACGTCTTCCTGGACCTGCATTATTCTCTAGCTACCGAGAGAAGACTCCAGAGCAAGTTGTCATGATGAGACCAAGTTTCAAGGTGCTTTACTGAGTTTTCAAACCTCACCCTAATTTAAGTTTCAGTACCTCCTTGGGGAAGAGGTCGCTACCACACAGAACAGGGTCCCCAGCTCAGAATCTCAGGATTGGCCGGCAGGGCCCTCAGTTACAAGCCAGTCTGCACACTGTTCCCTCCATCTCTGGACGGGGATGTGGAGTCAGCAGCCTCTGGGGGGCCCACACATTCAAGCTATCTCAGGGACTGGGCCCAAACAGATGGAAGAAATGCAGATTCAGGGAGAGTGGTGTTGTGGGAAGAAAGACAGGCGGTATGGAGCAGGTACACACCCAGCAAGGGTCTGCATGGAAAAGAGGCACTTGGCAAGTCCAAGGGTCCCCTTGAGCTTCGGCCAAGTTCCTTGCCCTGGGACACGCGCTTGCTGCCCCGGTTCCCAGCACCCTAACTTCAGATAGGCCGAGGGCTCGCGCTGCTTACAGACCTTCCCAGGCTGATCTTCCCCAGGTGGCCCCCGGGATGAGAAACCCTGTGCTGAGGCCAGGAATGCCCCCATCCTCAGAAGGATCCTGCTGGCTGAGTACTCACTCCCTTTCTGGAGAAAGGAGGCAACGCCCCAGTACTTCATCTTGAATTTGGCCGGGTCTTCGGTGTCCGTGAAGGTGCCCACCATGTCTGCGCACACTTCCCAGTTACTGCAAAAGGGCGAGGGGTTCTGAGCCAAAGCAGGAAGGGTGTTTCCTGGCTCCACTCACCTGGTCCCCTCCTCCTTCCCCAGACAGTGTGGCACCCAGGCAGACAGGGCCTCCCACTACCCACTGACCTCAACAGACGCACTCTGCCCTTGGCTGTGGCGCTCATGTGGCCTTTCTCGTCCACGGAGAACTCAGCGATGATGTTGTCTTGCAGAAAGAGACCCTCGGGGTCCTTCTTGGCTACTGCATACCAGGTCCCAGAGAACTGTGCAAAGGGTGAGAGGGAGGTCTGGGGTCTGGGGCCCACGGGGAACGAGGGGCGGCTGGTACCAGGCCCCCCCACTCCGGCGGGTACCTACGCGAGCCTTGTCGAAGTTCTCCTTGACTCGGAAGCTGCTCACTCTGCAGTCGCGCTCCGCGCGCCCGCCGCCCGCCGCCGCCAGCAGCACGAGCGCCCACACCCACTGCATCTCGCCCGGGAGTCCGCCCTGCGGGAAACGCGCCGCCGTGAGCGCCGGGTCGCGGACCCCCGCCTCCCAGCCCTGCGCCGCCCCGAGGCCCGCCCGGCCGGCCGCCGCTCACCACCGGAGCCGCGTGCAAGCCTGGCCGCCGCGTCCCGGCGCGAGGAGCAGGGAGGCGAGCGCCCGCCGGCCGACCCGCGCTTTATAGCCCCGGGGGGAGGGGGTCGCTTTCGTAACCGCGCGGGGTGAAAGAGCGAGGGGGAGGCGCGGGCGGCGGGGGGCGGCCAGGCCAGCGCTTGCATCATGCGCCCTGACTCACCGCCGCCCGGGCGCAGGGAGGGTCGCTCTGGGCAGCCGCGGACTAGTGGGGCCGCCGCGCAGGGTGGCCAGACTCTCCCGCGGCGCTGGGCTGCGGGGCCAAGCGCTGGCCCGGTTTCCCCGCTCTGGTGCCAGCAGTTGGCGGCCTGGGGTGGCCTCGGGGCCAGGTTGCCTCGGCCGGCCGGAGGCTCCAGTGGGCCTGGTAGGAAAACTCTGGTCTCGCAGAGCGAATAGGGGCCTGTGATGTTGCTGAGACCCTTGCTGCGCCAAGTTGGGCGCTCCGCCTTCAGGGACAAGTTATGCAGGGGTTTTGGGGTGCTTCAGCCAAATGGCTTTTCCTTTTCGTGAAGGATGTATTTTACTCTTTGAGAAGAGTTGTGGTGCCCTTTGCGTCAATATTTGTTCTTTAGTTTCAACATTTAGACGCATTTAAACGCCCCTTGTTAAATATTCTCTAGAAACGCAACTCCGGTCAGGATAGCAAATAGTTGAGCAGCCTGGGTGGTTGTGCGGTTGGTGGCCTACTTAGTGCGCCGCAGTCCCCGAAATCACTGTGAAGCACACCTCCTGATTGCTTATGATACATTCATTTCATAGCCATATCGGAAACGTATTTAAGTTTGTTTCCAAAACAGTCAAATGAATTCGTAGAGGAATGGACGAAGGAGTGACCAGTATTCTAGAACAGCAGTGGTCAGTAAGTCCAAAAGCTGTTAAGGAGTGTTTTATCTCGAATCTCGCCGAGCACTCAAGACTCAGGTTTTGGCCAACTGAGAATTAATGACATGGCAGAGAAATCTTTTCTTAACTGTTCCTTCCATACAGCATTAGTAGTGTCTTCAGGACTCAAATTGGAAGAAACCGAGATGACTCTGGAACATTTTGCTGCACCTGAAATGAGAGTAGCTAGGAGAAACCAGACGCCAAGCAAATAGGTTCCCAGAGCAACGGTCCAGCTGCTTCTACCCCGCCCCCACAACGAGCAGCTGCAGTTTCCTTCAACTTACTGTAAGCTTTTGGACATCACCTGACTGGTGCACAGCTTCAACTTTCCCTTTCTCTGCACTAGTTGTCAATGCCTATTTCTGACCACCAAGCTTACCAGATCTTCTTGTGGGGCTTTTACCAAAATATGTTTATAATTGTTCCTCTGTTGTCCACAGGAGGTTGGTGCCTCACTCCCTGTGGACACAAAATTCCATAGACACTCGGGTCCCTCATGTAAGATGCTGTCATATTTGCATATAAACTAATCACACCCTTCTGTATACTTCCACTCATGTCTAGGTAGCTTATGACCTTATACACTTCTACTTAAATAGTTGTTAAACTGTATTGTTCAGGGAATAATGACAAAAACAAAAGTCTGAGGGCCAGCAAGATAGCTCAGCAGACCAAGCACCTGCTTAGGCAAGCGCAGGGACCATCCCCGATCCCCTGTCCCTTGCACCATGCGCTGCGCCAGCCCTACCCCTCAGGCAGGATGAGTCTGTCAGAGTCCAGGCATGGTGGTACACTCCTGTAATTCCAGCACTGGAGAAGCTGAAAACAGGAGGATCACTATGAATCTGAATTGCGTAGTGAAACCCTGTATCAAATACATTAAAAAAAAAAAAAAAGGAACTACCATGGTGTAACTATGTCGTATACAAGCAAGACTCAAGGCAAAAGCCTTCAAATGACCAGGGCTGTCTGGACAGTGAGAGTGGCGGGGAGCGGTGGGAGCCTACGGCAGAGTGCCCTTGATCTCACATCATCTCACTCACATGGGACCAGCCTCATGCTTGGGATGCAGGAAATTCAAGTTTTGCTTTTGGGCTTTTCTGAATTTTTTCTCTTCTTATATTTTCTATCTAATGTTGGTTGAGTTCGTGGACGCAGAATCTGTGTGTAAGGAGGGCTCACTGCAACCCCAAACAACTGCAGAGGGTGTACTCTAGAGCCTGTCCTGCAAGAGCCGTGTGTTCAGCCATAAATTCTGTACGTACCTGTGCTCCGTGCATGGGGAAGTATTTCCAGGCCCCGACCTAGCTCCTGTGCAGTGTTTAGCGTGTTCTTTTGCATTCCAGAGTAGAAGACTTTCTGTTTCTGCTCCAACACCTCCAGCACAGAGAGCTTGGCCCAATTGTTTTTGGGTAGAAAAGTTTTCCTAATACTCCTTGGCCACATGAACCACCCCTCTAGGGCATTCTGGTAGTCCTTGTGCGTACTGTATGTTGGGTAAATTTCACTGTATTTTTATGGTAATGGCTTCTTCAGCAACTTGTGTTCATTTATTTCATAGGTGTTTAAAGAGGTTGGTAGGGACTGGGGAGATAGCTTGGCAGTCTAAGCACCTGCCTGGCAAGTACAACAACCCAGGTTCAATGCCTGGTATCACACACTGTGCCAGTCCCCAAGCAAAGACCCTGGCCATGGTGGCCAGTGCAACCAGGTGTGGTGGTGCACCCCTGTAATCCCACTGCTGGAAAGGCTGAGACAGGAGGATCACTATGAGTCCAAGCTGCATAGCAAGACCTTATATCAAATTAATCAATTTTTAATTAATTAAAAAAGAGATTGGTAAAACCTGCCCTCCCTTTCTCTCCTCTCCCTTTCTTTCCTCTTCCATTCTCCTCCCCTCCCTTCTCCCCTTTTTTCTCTTTTATGAAGTATCATGGACCTTATTTCAGGCACCAGCAAAGAAAAACAACTTATTTTGGCATTATCTCTCAGATTTCTTCATGATTACAAATAATGTGAATTTAGGTCAACTGATGTTTTTAATCAATGTTTTGAAATTAATCTCATAAAATCACTTTTCAAATGTGTGTATATATGAAAGATGGTAAAGAAAAGTGTTCATAGTAGTTAACTATATATGGTAATTTGAAGTTTGTTTTTCTTTGAACCTGGTATTTTGAAAATTTTTTCTACAGGAAAAATGTTTAATCGGAAAATAAAACAAATATTTTCTTAACAAATATTTTTCTTGCTTTTTTTCTATAAATAAAATGAAGTTTTAAGTGACACCATATAACATGCACAAAGTTCAATTCCCTGCCCTGCTTCGAGAGATTTTTCACTCATCTGAATCCCCAGCCAGCTGATCCATGGGCCTTGCACACTGTAGATGCAAAAACCAGGTATTAGTGTAATGCTTTTCTTAAATTAATCCCTTCCTGTAGGCTTCATAAAACATTTCTTTAGAAAGCACCTGATCAGGGGTGGCCCTTTTCGGTACGTACTTTCTCAGGATCTAGTGCTTGCAGAAGTAGCTACTTGTTCTTCCACCAGCAACTGCGCATTCCTCTTCCACGGTGCCGAGCCGGGGCTCCATCTGCCATTCTTCTCGTGCCTCTGCGCCCTCTTCCCAGAGCTTGGTAAGGACGCAAGCACTAGCCTCGTGGAGCGCGCTATCGACTCTGTCACTGCCAGGTGAGCTGCCTGCA